GTGTCTGAGGACTTAGTGCCAGGCTGAGGGGGGAAGAGACCCTGGGGCTGGGAAGTGTGCTCCTTGACGGTCTTAGAGACAAACAGGCCCCTGAGAAGGAACCTTTGATACTGGCAGTGCCTGTAGCACCTTCCTCTTAAGCATTCTGTCTGTGCTTCTGCTTCCCCAAGGTCCCTTAACAGAGAACACATGTAGCTCATCTTACTTTAGAAAAGAGATTATCCTTTTATTGTATAGGACAGGTTACAGGCTCTCCTCTCCTGGCTTAGCAGTGCGATGGCTGAATGAGGGAAAGGAAGCAGCAGCTGGGTTCACGGGCAGTGTTTCAGCTTACCAACCGCCTGTAGGTAAACTGACCTGGTAAGGTAGTTTCCAGCAGCAGGATTGTCAGCTCCCACTCCAGCCCGTGGCCCACATCCAGTGGTGTCCGTTCGGACCCTGGAACAAGTCTCCTGGCTTATCGTCTCCCCGCCACCCACCCCACCTCGGGTAAAGCAGAGCTTTCCTGAAGTGGGTTCACATCTGAGAAGCTCCCTGTGAGAGGTGATCAGACAGAGGCCACTGAGCCACCCCAGCCCTGCGCTTCAGCTGGTTGCCCAGGGCAATGCAGGGAGGGGAGCCTGCCCTGATGGTTTTTTGCCCAGAGGGGTGGGGAGCGGATAGGGTGTGGGGAGAGCACAGAAGTGGAGCCATGATTCCTCCTCGTGATTCCCAGTGGCCAAGCCTTGGTTATAGGCACGCCTGTGACTGAACCTCTGTCTGCCTGACTCGTTTCTGTGTCTTGGTTTCTTTCTCTCCCCCAGGCCCCCGATCCACCCAGACAGAGTGCTGCCCTGAGCAGCTTGTTTCTTTCCTTCTCTTCTGTGCCTGGCACTCCCCTCCCCTGGTTTTTCTTTTGGTGGAAAGTCAGAAAGACCTAATACAGCTAGTTTTCTAACCCCCACAGAAGACCTGCTGTATGGGAACCTGGCTCAGGGAGGAAAGTGAGTCCTTAATCTAGGGCCACATGTCTCATTGCCGATGGCTTTCTGCATCTGACCTGTAGGATACCCCCCACCCCACTCTTGCAGCAACAGAAAAGCCAAGGGAGTTGGAGAGGGCGAGAGAATCTGCTAAATACAGACCCGGGCCATGAACACTCCTCCCGCAATAGCTGCAGCCATGACGGAACCCCTGAAGATGACTTCACCCCTTCTGCCGCTTTGCCCAGGCACTAAACCGCTGCCCCGAGATGAGAGGCGTGTTGACTGTGAGGCCTTGTTGTGAGATGAGCTGAGAGCACTGGGGACAAAATGATCATTACGGGCTATTCATGTCGACAACATTTGTGCCTCTGTGTTTGCTTGCAAGCACAAGCAGGAGCTAATTTGCAAGGCTGCCTTTGTGGAGCTGCCTTTTGATCAATGATTGCCTGTGTTAATGTTTCAGTAAGCTATTGATTTCTGCAGCAGCTTTTGTTCCCTGAATTTATGTGCAGTGGGTCTCCACAGCACACGCTATGCATGTTTGATTAAAGTTCAATTGACTTCATTCCTGGGGAGGCCTCGAGCTGCTTCACTCCTGTTTGTAGAACCAGAGCTTTCCCCGGCATGCTCTTTTGTTTGTGCTCAAGACCTAGCCACCCATGCAGTCACCAGTATGCTGCTTCTAATCCTCCTAGATTTGCTCCATTCCAATGTTTAATCCCTTCCTAGACATTACAGTGGATGAGAGGCAGCTAATAAAACCTGGTCTGGAATTTTTTTTTCCCCCAGTCAACTTGCTGATATATTACTGGTGTGTATACCATATGGATCATAAAAATGCACTCAGAGGGCACAGGTCCAGTGAGTTTGGACAACTGTACACATCCGTGTGATAACACCGCAGTCAATTTATAGGACAGCCTCATCACCCAGAACGTCTCCTCAGGTCCTTTAACAGGCAGTCGCCCACGCCTCATGCACCAGACAGCAGACAACCACTCATCCTGCCTGGGCCCTTCCGTGTGGGCTGCTGCCATTCAATATGATGTCTGAGGTACGCCTGCTTGTTGTAGCTCTCAGTTATTTTTACCTTTTTACCGCCAAGTAGCATTCTCATCAGTGGGTGTACCAGGATATGCTTGTCCGTTCTCCCATTAAGGTGCTGTTTGGGGCTTTGAAGAGTGAAGTGTTTATGAGTGTTTGTGTGAAAGTCTTTGTGTGCACACATATTTGTATTCCTTTGGGGTGAACACCTAGGAGCGAAATCATTGCTAAGCCATGTGGTCCATGTTCAGCTTTCTGTGTGTTGAGTATCAGTCGCTCAGTCGTGTCCGACTCTTTGTGACCCCATGGACTAGGCTGCCAGGTTCCTCTGTCCATGGGATTCTCCAGGCAAGAGTGCTGGAGTGGGTTGCTATGCCTTTTCTCCAGGGGATCTTCCTGACCCAGGGATTGAACCCACGTGTCTCGCACTGGAGGCAGATACTTTACCATCTGAGCCACCAGGGAAGCCCATTCGGCTTTCTAAGAACTGCCAAAAGAGTTCTGCAAAGTGATTTGACCATTTTACATGTCCACAGTGGTATTTGAGATTTCTTGTCACTCCCCTGTCTTCCCTAAATTTGGAAATTGATATTCTTTCATTTTACCACAGCAGTCCTTCAGACTTGGTCATTTTGATCTTTGATACTCAGAAGATGGCATCTGTCCCAGGCTCCTTGTTTACAAACTATTACTTAAGGTTGACATAAGTTGACACTTATTTTAATGTTATGTGTGTGTGTGTCCCAATCTCTCTCACGTACTCGAGGAGGACCAGTGCAGGGCTCAGGTTGTGAACCTGGGCTCTTCCTGAGTCTTTTCTGTCCGGCATCTGATGTTGGGCTTGAACTCTGGCTTCTCCTGTTTGAATCTGCAGGTTTTACCATTTCTTAATACCATTTGAAAACTCGTTCATGTTTGAGAAACAGAACTGATCCCTTGTAACCGTGAATTGCAGACTAGGACTGCCCAGAACCGTCAGGGTGGCTTGTTCACAGCCAGAGACCTGGTGATCGTGCCTCCCCTCCAGGTTTCTCTCCCATTTTTATTTCGTTTCGCCTCCTGCAGCTTCCCATTTCCCCTCACGTCTCAGACCTGTCCCTGGGCCCCTGAAACAACTTCCACTGAAGGTAGAGGTGGGAGGAACAGAAATTCTTTGGGTCTGGGCTGTGATTTACTGCACCAGCTGCCCTTCTGAACTGACGAGGCACCTGCAGCTCTGACAGTGTTTGAAGGGTGACAGTGACCTGCCTTGGCTTCTGGTCTGTTCCCTCATAGGAAAACTGGAACCAGGTCACTTTTATGTCAGCACACATCTCTTAATCATAGTGGATTTATGAATTTGTGCCCTCCAGCCAGCCAACAGCAAAAGATCAGTATAGATAAATGACTGGCTAAGTCAGGAAGGTAGGAAGCAAGAGGCAGGAGCCAGGAGGTATCTCAGGTCGGGACCTCAGAGGCTCAGGACACTCCCCTCATTATGGGGACATTGTAGGCTGTGTTTGTGGACTAACATGCAGTAGGCAAACAAGGAAGAAATCCAAGGGCAATTGCTGCATTTTCCTGTGTTGTTCAGGTACCGCTGTGTGGAACTGGAAAGAGGATGGGGAGTGGCTTACTTACTCCTGGGGGTGTTTTCAGAGAAACTGCGTGTGACTGAGCATCCATTGGTCACGTATGTGTCATGTGGTACCTGCACTGATTCGTCTCTTCAGTCTCCTCAGCATTGGTCTTTCCAGCTAGATCCCAGGTCACTGGTGGACAGTCTTTGCTTTTCCTTTTTGGCTCCTGCATTCACAAAGCGGAGAGCCTTCCATGAGGCAGAGTGGGCCTTGGGCAAGTAGCTCCAACTCTCAGATGTGGGGACCCTCCCACGTTCAGGAACACACCCCAAGATATGGTGCTGACTTTCCACAGTAGTGATGTAATTAGGGAAGATCAGTGTGATCGAGGCTTTCTGATCTAGGCACACTGTTTTAACTATTTTTTAATTCTAAGTAGACACTTTTTCTTAAAGCATAGACCCCCAAGATACTGGTCTTGGTCAGCCAGCGTTAGTGGAACATGCCATTGCTGCCCCCAACCCCCATGTGTATGTATATGTGTATGCACACGTGTGTGTACGAGTATGTGTGTGCGCGTATGTATTCTGTACATGTGTGTAGGTATGTGGATATTGTGTGTATGTACATGTGTATACGTGTGAACGTATGGTTGAACCCCTTGAGGCTGGGAGTACCACAAGTGCCCTTTATTAAAAAGTTGCATTGGGACTCGTTTCTGCTGGCTTTGTTTTCAAAGCTGTCTTGGCTCTGTTTCTTCGGGGCCCTGCATGAAAAGAGGAGCTCCTTTGGCCTTTACACACCGACCTCGTGACACGTGGTGTCGCCTCTGCCCAGCACCACTGTCTGCCGCATCCACTCTCAGTCTTTTTGCCAGGCCTCGGCTTTGCCGTCAGCACTCTGTGCTGGCTCGTCCGGGGTGGGCATTGGGCCTGGCTGGGGGCTGTATAGCACTGGGCTTGGGCTCTGTTCTTCCCAACCTCCCTCCTGGCCCCAGTTCCTGCCACCTCAGTTGTTTGCTTCAGTTGTTTCTGAAATGATCTCCCTGCCTGGGCATTTCCATGTTGCCCCGTGTGGATTCACCGACTTGGTATGCACAGAGATGTTCCCTGTGTGCACTCGTGCGCACACACACATGTACATAAACACACAGCTGGGAGGACAGGGGTTCTCCTTTCTGTCGATGGTTTATTGATGGACCTCCAGTGCTTAGAACTGCTCATAGTAGGCACCCAGCAGATACTTGTTGAGTGAATAAATGTTCTTGATGTCTAGAAGTTATGCTCTGACGGGCTGGCAGACAGGCTCCACTGGCCCATTGCACAGGCTGCTCCATGGGTGTGTCTCAAGTGAGCCCAGGCCTCCAGGGCTGCTATGATAAAGCCGTGATAAAGGCTGTGCATCTGCCTCACAGCCAACCCTTCTCCTGCAGGGAGAACTGATCACCTTCTATTACTACTGGAAGAAAACCCCAGAAGCAGCCAGCTCCCGGGCCCACCGCAGGCACCGTAGGCAGGCCGTGTTCCGGAGGATCAAGACCCGCACTGCGTCCACGCCCGTCAACACGCCCTCCAGACCCCCGTCCAGTGAATTCTGTAAGTGGGGGCTTTGCACATGCCGCAAGCTTCCATGTCCCAGCTCTGGGTGGACCTGCTCTCACAGCCGTCCTTGGCAGAGCTCGTGTTGGGGCGGGGGTGGAGGGGTGGTGATTTATCTGCGTGTGTGTGTGTGTGTGTGTGTGTGTGTGCAAAGCCTGATCTAAGAGTTTTATAAACTACTTGTGCATATAGATTTTTCTGAAACAATATCATCTGTAAGTCCTGGCCTTGGCCTGAGGCAGTTTTTGACTTTGGAGGATGATCTCCCTTAGCAGACAGTGTGCTGCACTTGTGGTCACAATACGATCAATTTAACATTTTCTTCTTCCTACTACTATTGTGAAATCCTCCTCTTGGTCCCATGTGACCTGCAGTCTGATATGACAGTGAAGCCCATACATCTTCTTAACCTTTGAAAACTAGATTCATGGCTTGTGATCCTATCCTCGCCCAGGGCACTCAGCCTGAGGGTCACAGACGTGGCTTATGCAAATTGGAAACAGTAGGCCTTGAGGGCGCTGAGCCTTGATGGAGAGGAAACCCCTCAGAATGTCAGGAAGGGCATCATGGATGCACTCATCCTGTTCAGATACACCATCTGTGGGCATCAGTGCCAGCTTCTCCAGGATTGAGGTGTGACAGTAGACCACCAGAATGACAGAGCAGACTGTTGGGTACCACCCCTCATACACGAGTTCTTCATTCTGATGACTGGCCCTGAGAAATTCAGAATGGTCCTTTGTGAACCTGCTGGGCCGCTCTGACTGTTGGCCCGGAGCCTGGGGCAGGTCAGAGGTAACAGGGGGTCCAGTCTTGGCCCAGCGTGATGGTGTCTCCCCCACCCGTTTATGTGCCCATCATGCCCAGTGGACCTGAGTTCCGCCAGCGAGGATGACTTCGACAGCGAGGACAGTGAGCAGGAGCTGAAGGGCTACGCCTGCCGCCACTGCTTCACCACCAGTAAGCGGGGCCGGCGGGAGGGGGCCTTCGCTGGAGCAGCCATGCTCCGGCACTTCCTGGTTCTGAATGTCTGGGGAGTCGAATTGGCGACTTGATCATCTGCATTGTGTTCAGGAAGTGGAAGACTCCTGTTAGCAGTCAGGCTGGAGCACTGACCAGGGGCTGGGACGGACTTGCTCAGGGTCAGGGCGAGCAAGTCTCGGGGAGCCTGCTGCCAACTCATCCTGAGATGAGGTGGGGTGGTAGACAGTCCTGAGATCCTCTCCTTCCAGGAAGAAGCAGGGCGGCAGCACCTGAGCTGTTGAGTGACAGGTGTTGGCCGAGGCCAGGGCCATGTGGTCCTCGTGGTACAAGGATCAGCCAAGCCCACAGAAGTGCCTCCCTGCTCGGATGTCTATACCCCCAGACCTTGGTGTCTGAGGTTGTCAGCCACACCGCCGCCCCTCCCTCCTGCAGCCTCCAAGGACTGGCACCACGGGGGCCGGGAGAACATCCTGCTGTGCACCGACTGCCGCATCCACTTCAAGAAGTACGGCGAGCTGCCCCCCATTGAGAAGCCTGTGGACCCCCCACCCTTTATGTTCAAGCCCGTCAAAGAGGAAGACGATGGGCTCAGCGGGAAGCATAGCATGAGGACACGGCGGAGTCGTGGCTCGGTGAGTCCCTCAGCCAGGCAGCCTGCGTGCGTCTCTGGAGTCTGGGGCTGCACCTGCCAGGAGGAGGCTGGGAGTGTTTCATTTCAGGCAGAGGAACAGACCCTGGAGGGGACATGCCTGGCCTGTGTGGGAGAGCTCTTGGTTCTCTCCTCCCTTGCATCTCCTCGGGGAGCTGGTGGACCAGCATGAGTTGCTGTTCGCCCCCTCCCTTCTGAGCCATGGCCTTGCAGAAATGTCCTCAAGGCCTGGGAGTTTTAGGAGCTGAGCTGCATTATTTGACAGCTCATTTCGTTGGGTCACTTCCCATCCCGTCACGTGAAATCTTCCAGTGTGCATGTGTGTTTGGTGGGAGGAGCAGGCAGTTCCATGGAGCAGACGGAAGAGGGGGAGTGACTTAAAGCCGACGTCAGGTGTAACATCACTCGGTCCAACCTCTACCCCTCAGACAGCCCTGCCCACTTCCAGCTTGTGTCATTCAGGACAGTCCCTGGAGGAGATGAGAGCTTCGAGTTTAAGCTGAGAATCACTCTTTTCCATGTAAACTCACCCATTCACCCCCTCCTTGCTTTGCTCCATGTTGACTCCTGTGCAGTGAGGGACAGCCAAGGGTGCCTATGGTTTGCCAGGGGCTGGGATTTGACCTACTCTGGAGGCTCCTGCCTGGGAACTGGGCCCAGGTGGCCTATGTGGGGACTGGGGTCGAGTCTCACCAGCCTCCGGTTGGGGTGGGCAGATGTCTACACTGCGCAGTGGTCGGAAGAAGCAGCCAGCCAGCCCTGATGGTCGTGCCTCGCCCATCAATGAAGACATCCGCTCCAGTGGCCGGAACTCTCCCAGCGCGGCCAGCACCTCCAGCAACGATAGTAAATCAGAGACAGTGAAGAAGTCGGCCAAGGTGAGCTACCGGGAGGGCAGGTGGTAGGGGCTGCTGGAGTCGGCACTCACCTCCCCTGAGTCTCTCGGTCATTCATGGAACCTCATGAGCACCAGCAAGGCCTCGCCTGGGGTTGCAGACTGGGGCCTGGAAAAAGAGGTCTATGTAATTCCCAGCACAGACCTATGGGGGCCACCTCTGCCTTGAGTTTCCTGTCCTCAGATACTTTTTCCTTCCTGGCCCCACTGGCCCCTTCCAGAGCTTTCTTGTTTCTGGGGGTGGAGCATGGTGTAGGGGGAGTCTTAAGTGGTTGTCACTCCCTGAGGTTGTCCAAGTGGTCAGCAAGTGGTTGTCACTCCCTGAGACTGCTGGGCCATCCCTTGGCCTGAGGCTTCTCGTGGGCTTTCCCACTACAGAAGGTAAAGGAGGAAGCCACGTCCCCTCTTAAGAGCACCAAGCGCCAGCGGGAGAAGGGGACCTCGGATACAGAAGAGGCCGACAGGACTAGCTCCAAGAAGACAAAAACCCAGGTGAGGCTTGAGGCTGAACCATGTTGACTGCCCCCAGCATCTCCTGTCCCTTGAGAAGCACCCTGGGCTGGGGCCGTGTCCTGCCTTCCAGGGAGGGGCCTAGAGCATTTCCAAGACTGGCGAGGTCAGGGTAGGACCTGTGGTCCCTGCTTGCTGCCTCCTCAGCCAGACCTTGCTGTGTGGTGGGGCAGGGGGCGTCTGGCTCCCCTTGACCTTCCATCCTCCTTCTCTGACCCTAGGAGATCAGTCGGCCCAACTCGCCATCTGAAGGCGAGGGGGAGAGCTCGGACAGCCGCAGTGTCAACGATGAGGGTAGCAGTGACCCCAAAGACATCGACCAGGACAATCGCAGCACGTCCCCCAGCATTCCCAGCCCTCAGGACAACGAGAGTGACTCGGACTCCTCAGCCCAGCAGACGACGCAGCCCTCTGCCCTGCAGGCTCCTGGAGGGGCTGCCCCAGCCCCCTCCTCTGCCCTGCCAGGGACTGCCCAGCTGCCCACCCCAGGGCCCACGCCTGCCCCCGCCGCCCCCTCACAGGGCTCCCCCTCGGCCTCCCAGCCCCCCACGCAGCCACAGGCCCCCTCAGCTGCTGCTCCCCATGCCCACATCCAGCAGGCGCCTGCTCTCCACCCACAGCGGCTGGCCTCACCACACCCCCCGCTGCAGCCGCTGACAGGTCCGGCTGGCCAGACCACAGGCCCGCCCCACACCCAGCCCCCCCTGCACAGTCAGGGCCCGCCCGGCCCTCATGGCCTCCAGGCTGGGTCCCTACTGCAGCACCCGGGGCCCCCACAGCCCTTTGGCCTCCCTCCCCAGGTGTCACAGGCAGCAGCCCACCCTCACACCTCCCTGCAGCCCCCTGCCCCTCAGTCGGCCTTGCAGCCCCAGCAGCCCCCCCGGGAGCAGCCCCTGCCCCCAGCACCCCTGGCCATGCCCCACATCAAGCCCCCGCCCACCACGCCCATCCCCCAGCTGCCAGCGCCCCAGGCCCACAAGCACCCGCCTCACCTCTCGGGGCCCTCGCCCTTCTCCATGAATGCCAACCTCCCGCCCCCTCCTGCCCTGAAGCCCCTGAGCTCTCTGTCCACTCACCACCCGCCCTCCGCCCACCCCCCGCCCCTGCAGCTCATGCCACAGAGCCAGCCGCTGCCCTCGTCCCCTGCACAGCCCCCTGTGCTGACCCAGAGCCAGGGCCTGCCCCCCGCTGCCGCCTCCCACCCGGCCGCGGGCCTCCACCAGGTGCCCCCTCAGCCCCCGTTTGCTCAACACCCCTTTGTCACTGGGGGCCCTCCTCCCATCACCCCTCCGACTTGCCCCCCCACCTCTACTCCTCCGGCGGGATCCGGCCCCTCGGCCCAGCCGCCCTGTTCGGCTGCCGTTTCTTCGGGAGGCAGCGTACCTGGGGGGGCAGCCTGCCCACTCCCCGCTGTCCAGATCAAGGAAGAGGCTCTGGACGATGCTGAGGAGCCCGAGAGCCCCCCTCCCCCGCCTCGGAGCCCGTCCCCTGAGCCCACTGTGGTGGACACCCCCAGCCATGCCAGCCAGTCCGCCAGGTAGAGGTCCCGGGAACCCAGGTGCGTCGGGGGAAGGGGTAGCTGGGGCCTCGCCTGGGACCCAGAGAGACACCGGGCCTTTTGTAGGTTCTACAAGCACCTGGACCGGGGTTACAACTCGTGTGCACGGACCGACCTGTACTTCATGCCTCTGGCGGGATCCAAACTGGCCAAGAAGAGGGAGGAGGCCATCGAGAAGGCCAAGCGGGAGGCTGAGCAGAAGGCGCGAGAGGAGCGGGAGCGGGAGAAGGAGAAGGAGAAGGAGCGAGAACGCGAGCGGGAACGGGAGCGAGAGGCCGAGCGAGCGGCCGTGAGTCGGGAGGGCAGCCTGCTCCGTGGGCGTCTAGGGCTGGTCCCCGCACCCGCCTTGAGTGGGCCACCCCCTTGCTATCTCTCAGCACCCACCTGCCTTACCTCTGTGTCCACGATATGCTGATGCCTCTGGGCCCCAGTCCCCTGTCACGGCAGGTCTGGACCAGGGGTGGGGTGGGGTGGGGGACCTAGTTGGTTGGGCCAGGGGCCAGGGGCCAGGCGCCCACCCCTCACAGCCTCTTTCCTCTTGCAGAAGGCGTCCAGCTCAGCACATGAAGGCCGCCTCAGCGACCCCCAGCTTGGCGGTCCTGGCCACATGCGGCCATCCTTTGAACCCCCGCCCACCACCATCGCTGCCGTGCCCCCCTACATTGGGCCTGACACGCCAGCCCTCCGGACTCTGAGCGAGTACGCCCGGCCCCACGTCATGTCACCCACCAACCGCAACCACCCCTTCTATGTGCCCCTCAACCCCACCGACCCACTGCTGGCCTACCACATGCCTGGCCTCTACAACGTCGACCCCACCATCCGGGAGCGGGAGCTGCGGGAGCGTGAGATCCGAGAGCGGGAGCTCCGGGAGCGGGAGCTGCGGGAGCGGATGAAGCCGGGCTTCGAGGTGAAGCCCCCGGAGCTGGACCCCCTGCACCCAGCCGCCAACCCCATGGAGCACTTCGCCCGGCACGGTGCCCTCACCATCCCCCCTGCCGCCGGCCCCCACCCTTTTGCGTCTTTCCATCCCGGCCTGAACCCCCTGGAGAGGGAGAGACTGGCCCTGGCCGGGCCCCAGCTGCGGCCCGAGATGAGCTACCCGGACAGACTGGCGGCCGAGCGCATCCACGCCGAGCGCATGGCCTCGCTGACCAGCGACCCCCTGGCCCGGCTGCAGATGTTCAACGTGACCCCGCACCACCACCAGCACTCCCACATCCACTCACACCTGCACCTCCACCAGCAGGACCCCCTCCACCAAGGTGGGCGCCCACCGCGGGTCTGCGGGGGTTGGGGGCTGTGGACCCCGGGTGGGGCTGCTGTCCGGAGCAGAGCTTGCAGCTCCTGGCACATGTGGGGGTACCCAGCATCCCCCCTGGCTCCACAGTCACCTAGGGCCCTCTGCTCGCCATCTCCTGATGAAGCTTGGGTTCTCAGTTCTGTGTCTGCAGTGGAGCTGGGAGGGAGGAGGTGGCCTGTGCTCACTGGGGCTGCTTGGGAGCAAGAGACAGGGCTGGAGGAGCAGGGCAGAGCCTTTGGGGCCACATGGAGGCAACTAGGACGCCCCGGGGAAGCTGGGGGTTGTCATCAGTGAGAGCTTTTCTGCTCCCCCTCGGGGAACAGGGCTTGGGCTTCTGCCGGCTTTGAGCTGGCTCACCTGGCCAGGACCGCCCAGTCTTATCCACTCCAGGAGCAAGAGCTCTGGAAGGCCCACTGGTCCGTGGCTAGGGGTGCAGGCTGGTCTGAGGCTGACACCGGCATGATTGGAGCCCCACTCCCTGGGCGGCTCTGCAGACTGGCCAGACAGGGTGGGGGCGGTCAGGGCCTGCTGTGGGGGGCCCTGGGCCCCTTCTGGGCAGCGAGGGAGACAAGAGACAGGGCAGGCCCCAGAGGGAGGAGGGCAACCTCCAGTTTCCTACACACATTCCCAGCCCCAGCTGACGTGGGAACCAGGAGCTGTCATGTTCGCCCCATGGTCCCAGCACCAGGATCGTTTGTGGTTAAGCCCACTGAGGTGGGCCTCAGTCCCGCGAGAGGACAGGCGAGTGTTCTCAGCATGTTTGTTCACCTGACAAGTGTTTACTGAGGACCCGCAGTGTTCCCAGCACAGCTGTAGAAGCTGGTGACACCCCTGTTCATGTTCACCTTCCACTGGGGGCAGTCGATAAATGTGTCTGAGTTTGTGAGGAGCAGTTACTGTTCTGGAGGAAGACTGAGCAGAGAGCTGAGAGCTGCAGCGCTGCTGTTGCAGAGAGGTGTCTGGAGGGTGGGAGGTGTTGGAGCAAGGGAAGGAGCGTCCTCAGGCCTAGAGAGTTGTGGGTGCAGAGGCCCCGGGGCCAGAGAGGGTGACTCCAGGGAACAGACCGGCGACGTGCTGAGACGGCCACTGGGACTTTCTGAGACCCGTCAGGCAGCACCCGCTTTGGTCCTGTGAGTGAAGAGCCAGGGAGGCAGCCTGGGCTGGTGGACCTCACCAGGCCTAGGATGGGGCTGGGGCAGTTGGCTCCAGGGCGCTGCAGATCCAGTGTCCTTGCCAAAATGAGATTGGGGCTGCTGAGGAGACTGGGGAAGAAAGATGTGGTCAGCTCTTCACTCTGTCACTTTCTGGAGCTTCATGCAGGTGTGGGGAGGCAGGGAGGGCGACAGCCACTCTGGGTTAGCAAGTCAGGGTTATTGATGGCCTGCTGACCAGAAGCCAGCTGTGGAGAGGAGGAAGTCGCTGCGAATACCACCCAGGAGGGGGAGCGGCTCCAGAGCCCTGTGCTTTTGCCCCTTTTTCTAGGTTCAGCAGGCCCTGTTCACCCGCTGGTCGACCCCCTGACGGCTGGCCCTCACCTGGCGCGCTTTCCCTACCCCCCTGGCACTCTCCCCAACCCTCTGCTTGGACAGCCCCCCCATGAGCACGAGATGCTCCGTCACCCAGTTTTTGGTAAGAAGACGCCTGGGGAAGGAGGGGGCCAGGGAGGGTTGGGTCAGGGGTCTGGTCTGATGTCCCGTTCATGCATTTACTCTGTGTTCAGCACGGGCTTCTCCTGTGTGGGGGGAAGATACCTGGGTGCCCTGGGAGCCAGACCCCTGCCCCCGGGGAGCTGGGGGTGGGGCTGTAAATGCACAGCAGGAGCCCAGAGGGAGTAGGAGGGCTGAGGGCAGGCCTCTGTGAGGACTGGGCAGTAGGCTGAGCAGGCGGGGCCCCAAGGGAGCTGGGGGTGGCGTGCAGGGACTGCACTTCTGTCTCCGCGGGGGCTCTGCTCTGCTGGTCCCTGCCCAGTAGGTGATCTCTTGATCCTCCCCTCGGGAGGCTCTCTCCTGATCTGACCTCCTTGGCGGCCTCATCCTGGCCACTGCCTTGGCCTTTCTGTAGCAGAGGCTGTTTGGTGTTTGGCAGGCACCCCCTACCCCCGAGACCTGCCTGGAGCCATCCCACCTCCCATGTCGGCGGCCCACCAGCTGCAGGCCATGCACGCCCAGTCGGCCGAGCTGCAGAGGCTGGCCATGGAGCAGCAGTGGCTGCACGGACACCCCCACATGCATGGCGGCCACCTGCCCAGTCAGGAGGACTACTACAGGTGAGGCGGGGCGGGGCTGGGGGAGGCCGGGCCCCCGCCTCCTCCGCCTGTGGGTCCCCACCCCCGCCCCTCCCAGCTGCACCCACCCTGCTCCCCACCCCATATCAGCAAGTGTCAGGCTGTTCCCCTGCCAGTCAGGGGACACCTGAGGGTCTTGAGGAGGAAAGACATGGTAGTGGCGGGGGGCGGGGGGGGGGGGTGGTAAGCAGTGTGGCGGCTGCTTGGGCGTCCAGACCCTTCCAGTTGCAGGCCTGATACCTATGACTTTTCCTTTTTTTTTTTTCCTTTTCTAGTCGACTGAAGAAAGAAGGTGACAAGCAGTTATAAGTTATTTATTTGTTAACGCTGGCTGTGGAAACCCCAATTCTTGGGGGAGAGAAACAGGACTTTTTACATACAATAGGAGCTCTAAAAGCAAAAAGAATATCTTCTAAAGATTTCTTTATATATTTAAAAACCCCACAACTAAAAATGTATCAGCATACATAGTGTTCGTTTGTAGAGAGGATTCCTTGAGACTGGTTTGGGTCTCCCTGCATGACAGTCCCCCAGAAACTTAGTGAGTCCTGGACTGGACTGAACACCCAGAAAGTGCCCCTGCAGTCTTGGGGTTTGGCTTTAGCTTTCTTTTCCTTCCTTGATTTTTCTCAGTAGGTGCTAGATCCCAGTTCACACCCTTCAGTGCGTGCAGACACACTCAGTTGCGTGTGTCCCAGAACCCACACGGTCTGCAGCATCTGAGTTTGGAATCCAAGAGCTATAATTTTTAAAAAATCTTTTATTTTAATACATTGTAGGAGATCTTCATAATTTGAGGAGGTTCTGTGCATGGCTTTTTACGTCTGTAAATAAATAATTTTAGAACAGCCTTTTTTTTTTTTCCTTCCATGAACTACTATTCTGATCTATTTTTTCCAGCCATGTCACTGATTGTGAATTCCTACCAGCTATTGACAGAATACAGAGTTGATTTTTTAATAAAAAGCTATATATAATTATCCCTTTAATTAAAGGGAACAGATGGGCGTTACTAGTTACAAAGGGGCAGAGGAGGCTAGGGGCTAGGTTTGGGAGCAGCCAGGGGTTTGCAGGGACAACATTACAAGCCGTTTCTTTGTGTTGCTGCTTTGGTTCTCGCTCCTGTCTGTTCCTGGCTCGTGCTTGGCCAGTGGTGCAGACTGCGGTGAGCTCAGCCGACTCGCTGTGCCCCAGGAGCGCAGGAGTTGAGTGTTCCCCGTTCCGTCTCTGCGGGCGTGAAAGCACATGTTCCTGTGTGTCTGGTTGTAGATTTCCTTGTAGATTTCTGTACACGCTCATTTGATTGGTCTGGATGAACTGCCTTTTTTTTTCCCCTCCAAATATTTGGACTATTTCATAAACATCCTAGAAAATTGAAGAAAACAATTCTCACTAAGCACATGTGCTTGCCAAAGGATCTGTCAGAAGCCTGCTTTCTGGTATGTGTGGTCATTTGGATCTCCTAGTGGGGAAGCCAGGCCGTCCTTGCCCCTTGAGGCTGCTTTGGGGTCAGAGCATCCCGGAGGTGTCCAGTTGTGGGTGGCAGTCCTGTGTTGTGTCCTTGTATCACCATACTTGCTGTCCCACTCTGCCTCACGGAAGCAGGACAGGGGTTGCGGACATAGAGTGGGAGGCAGGCTCCACGTGGGGGCCTCTCCAAGGGGACAGGAAGCCCAGAGCCTCCCTCTGCTCTCCAAGGTGCCCACGTGATGCCCTTTCTCCAGAACAGAGGGTGAGGACACTAGGGGGCCGTTATGCACCTGTTTATTTATCAAACTTTCTGCCAGAATATGACCTTGTCTGTCCCTCTTCTCTCAGACCCTTGAGGGCCTTTCTTGCCATGATGTGCAGGGGTCACAGCCAAGAGTAAAAAGAGAGCAGGAGTCCCACCTGGGGTCAGCGGGCATGGAGCATGTCCCAGACCACAGAGGGGTCGGACGAGAGGCTGGCACTTTGACCCAGAAACCAGCGGGTATTAGCTCAGATTCAGGTTCTGGATTCAGACCTGTGGTGAGGGCATTTCCAGTGTCTATTAAACCATGTTCAGTTTCAGTTGGGACAGATAGGGGGTTGTTTGGTCTGTTGAAAATGTTTGTAGTAGTAGGTTTTTTTCTTTGATTTTTCTCTCATTCCATTTCTGCCTTAACTTTAGCTCCTTGAGGGGAGGCAGGCTCAGATGGAAACTTTGTCATCACTTTCATGGCCTGTTGGCCAGGAGCAGTCATGTTGCCAAGGCTAGCAATGTGCCATCCGGGCGGGCTCAATGCTTCAGGCTCCACGCCTCTGAGCCAGGCCCCTTCCTGCTGCTCCTGGCTCCTGCACGGACACCCCTGCCTGCCCACCCTTCCTCTTCTCCCTTTTGGTAGACATGATGTCTACTGTTCAGTTACACCTTCTTGATCTCCTCTCTCTATCGTCCATTTTTCCAAAGAAGAGAGAGTGAAGTACTTGGGAGTCTGTATTTGAAAACTGTCTGAAGGCGTTTTCTCGTTTGGTTTTGGTTTTCTCCTCATGTTCCCAGGTGAAGCACTGAGATTCTTCCATTTAAAAACCCACAACCTGAAACCCTCACTGGTCAACTCCAGTGTGTGTAGGAGGCCCCAGACCTTCGCGGTGTCTTTGAAGCCCAACCCCCTGGTTTCCGTTTGGGTTTCCTGCCTTGGTTGGGAGTTGAGTTTTGCGTTTCCGTGTTTCACGTGTATCTTGTTCACGTCGTCGAGGTCAAGCTTCACTGCGGCAGCAGCAGAGCGGAGTGTACATTCTGATTTGCTACGTTTATATATATCTTGAAGCTAAATGTATATATGAGTAGTTTGCCATGAGATAACACAGTGTAAGCAGTAGACACCCAGAATTGTGACTTCTGTGTTCTCTCCATTTGAGTATTTTGTAATTTTTTTGAAATATTTGTGGACATAAATAAAAACAAGCTACACTACAGTGGCTGCGTGTCCTCTGTGGGCTGTATCTCATTCCTGGGGTGGGCAGGGGTGTCGGCAGTTGCCCTGCCCTGGGGCTCCCAGGGTGGGGAGGGGGCAGAGGGAAGGTTGGGTTCTTGGTGTCCCCAGCACACTGGCTTATCATCCGGGACGAAGGGTCTCCGGTGGGCACACTGCCCTTGGGGAAGGCTTCAACCTGCTGACGGCCCGGGACCTTCAGTGACTCCCCAGGCACAACAGGCCCTGTGTTGGGGGTGACAGGTGATGGCATTGGAACCACTATACTCTCTCTTAGCTCCTCCCCCTGCCTTTCACCCCACATCTCTCATTTGTGGGCACCTTGATAACTTCGTTGGTAAAGAATCCGCCTACAATGCAGGAGACCCTGGCTCTCCTGGGTCAGGAAGATCTGGAGAAGGGATAGGCTACCCACTCCAGTATTCTTGGGCTTCCCTTGTGACTCAGCTGGTAAAGACTCCACCTGCAATGCAGGAGACCTGGGTTTGATCCCTGGGTTGGGAAGATCCCCTGGAGAAAGGAAAGCTACCCACTCCAGTATTCTGGCCTGGAGAATTCCACGGACCGTATATATCCGAGCCACCAGCCAGGACAGTTGCTTCTGGCTCTGGCTGCTCCTCCTGTCCTGTCCCCTCTCCGTCTCTACCCCTGACACCTGCCGGTGGCCCCACCTTACCTTCAGTCGCTACAGGCGCCCTGCAGGTTGACAGTGCATCCAGAACCTGATGGGCGATCTTAGCCTCCTGCTCCAGGGGACCTGCAGAGAGTATGCGTGGCCACCAGGGGGCAGCAGTCACCAGGGTGGGTTCAGCCTGTGGTTTTTCAGCGACCAGAGTGTGGTTTCCTGAAGTTTCAAGACTGTCTCTGGAAATTGTACACTCACTCACCTTTTTATCTGGGATCTGGACTCAGTAATGAGCAAGAGCAACCTGGAGCGCTTCTTGTTAGTAAATTGCCCTCAAGCAGGATCGCTGGTGTCTCAGATGGTAAAAATTCTGCAGTGCGGGAGACCTGGGTTTGATCCCTGGGTTGGGAAGGTCCTCTGGAGGAGGGAATGGACCCACTCAAGTATTCTTGCCTGAAGAATTCCATGGACAGAGGCGGACTATAGCCTATGGGGTTGCCAAGAGTCAACTGAACGACTTAGCACACAACCACGCATGACTGTGGTTCTGGGTTGTGTATGAAAAGATGGGGTGGGTGGAGCGGGGAGTAGCTGGAATCTGGGTGCTGTCTTTGGCAGTCTCTCATCTAGATGGTGCTTTTCACGAAGCTGAAGTGTTTAGTAGTCACAGATTTATGAGGTGGAAGTTTCAGGAAGGTTGAATGATAAGACATGTCTGTGAATGGAGATAATAGATTGATGCTTCAGAAAAGACCCTCATCAGAGCTGCACAGGCTGTAATAGTTTGCCAGGTGTGGATGCCGATGGCCAGTGTCCCCATCGGACCATGTATCTGTACTGAGGCAGAGGGTCTCCTGCAACAGACAAATCTGCTGGATTTGTGAGCCTGAGAGGAAGGGTCTCACGTCTCACAGCTGTGCCTCCAGCCAAGGTTTCCACTCTGTTGCTGCCCAGACCAACTGGCCCCAGGTGTCCCTTCGGCCCTGTGGGGGGCCCCTCGACCTGGGCACGGTGACTCAGCAACCCCTCTGGTTCCCCACCGCTAGGAAAGTAGCGCTTGGCAGGGCCGGGTGCACGGCTGCCACATAGATAAAGGTCCAGGGTAAGTTCATGTGTACGGGGCACGTTATTTAGGCATCACCTGGATTTACATAAATCAGAGCCACTTATCTGCCAGGCCAGGAGGTACAGCAAGGAGATTGGCTGCGACCTCCCAGGCAGACATTGAATTCCAGGGCTGGAAGCACAGCTGTGCAGTGGTGGCTGTGAACAGCTGCTGAGTGTCAGGGACCTGCCTCCCAGCTGGGAGCCCTTTGCCAACCTCAGGCCTTGCAATCCCTGCTCTGCCCACACAGGGAGACCCAGGGTGGTGTGAGGGCACCAACACAGGCCCCCGTCCCCCCTGTCAGCCTCTCCTGGCTGACCCAGTTGGTGCAGGTGTGTTTCTGGACTCAGAGCTATGGGACCAAAACAGGACTGGTTACCCAGAAGCCTGGGATCAAGCTGATGGGCTCTGAGACCAGTGCACCATCTGCCCTGCCCTAGAGCCCTGAGCAGGTCCTCCCACAGGTCTGTGGAGACCCTGAGGGACCGGGGCCCTTGGCCTCCCTGCCCCCTCCCAGGGAGGGACAGCCAGATGAGCCTGTGGGGAGGCAGCCAGTGAATGTGGCCACCCAGCTGGGTTCTGAGGCTGCAGGAGTCAGCGAGCCGTCTCTGGGCCCCTGCAG